CTCAGTTTTCTCTCAGTCAAATAAGGTAAATGGCAAATGGACTGTGGCTTTTCATGCTCTCTGTGAATAAATTGTAAATTCTTCACAGTCACCTGACCTAATGCTTGGTGCAGTGGAGGTGTTCACACAAACAGCATTTATTATTATTCACTTCCATGAGAGAGCACCTTTAGGTGAGATCCCTGTGGACAAGCTGCTGCCAGGTACATTTTCTCTCTTCTGTTTCTGCTTTTGGGGACATTAGACTCGCAAAGCAGTTGGCTGATGGACTACAAAGCTTGTCTTTCTGACCTCTCCACTCTGAGTCCCAGGTGAAGAAAACTCTGTCCTTGCCCAGATGAGGCTCTGAGGGCTGAGCCCTGGCAGTGAGCAGCTCCATGAGACACAGTCCTCAGACAGCTGGTGAATCCCTCGTCCCAGTAAGCCCTGCCACAACCCAGCCTTGGTACAGCCTCCTCAGCTTTATCTGGAGTAAGGATTTAGGGACAGGGATCTGGGGTTGAGGCTCCACTGATGAGCTTTTCTGAGAGTATCTCAGGGGGCCTCTTATTCAAAGCCCTACTCAGTTCTCCAGGGTCTTTCTCAGGATCCAGTTTATCAAGAAGGCATGAGGTGCTTGGCTGAGATTTATCTCTTGCTGAGCACCCTCCCTTCAGACTGTCCTTCCTGTGCAGCAAGTGTCTGCAGGGTCTGGAGGTAGGAAAGGAATTCTGATCTGTTATAGTTTGTCTCCTTTGTGTGTGTCCTCCACTAAATGCCAAAACACCAACATGCGACATAAGGCAGAGAGGGACACAGGCACAGTCTAGGCCTGACAATCCTGTTTGTGTAAAGTAGAAGTGACCCCCACCCCCCAACACCCAGGGATCATGTGGAATCACTCACGGTATAAGGTGAAATGTCCAATTACTCCTTTACTGTTATCACCTTGCTTTATGGTTTGTATGGTGTAGGATCCTGTGTCCTTCCGGGTGACATTCTGGATCAGTAGGGATGCATTGGAATATACTATTTCTCGTCCACTGTATGCAGGCCCAGCTATAATTGTTTCAGCGTCTATTACATATGATGTAATGTAATGGTGGAGGTCCATTTTTTGCCCTTTATACCAGATGTAGCCAGTAAGATTCTGGGGCAAATTGTGGACAAGTAGAAGAACATCCTTCCCCTCGGAAACTTTGTTTGGCTGTGCTTCAATCGTGACTTGCGCAGTGGTGGGCGGGTTCCAGAAGATTAAAAGCGATGCTAAGAGGTGGAGAGAACATCAGTCAATATTGCGACGTATGTATGGGGGTGAAAAATGGGACCCTGAGTCCTGAGAAGATCTCTTCAGTCATCAGTCTTGAAGACACACACACACATACAAACACACACACACACCCCAGTAGGACAGTAGGACACACATATACACCCCTTTTGTGTGTGTGTGAACTACTGTCCTACTGGGTCAAGGTCAGCAGCATGACCCCCATTTCTTCAACCCTTCTTACCTTGTCATATTTCTGTTTGGAATCCTCTTTCCCAGGGATCTTCATGCCTCCCTCCACACCACCCTCAGGTCCTGCTCACATCAGGGCATCCTTAGACTTCTTTCCTGACACCTCCTTTAGAGACCCTGGGTCTTCCCTTTCTGACCTTTCCCTGCTCTGCTCCCTCCGGAGCTCTTGTCAACACCTGACCTCACATTCTAGATCTCTTTGCATGTCTGTCTTCCTTCCCATGACAGCGTGAGCTCCCTGAGGACAGGGACTTTTATGATATTGGTTGCACCCCAGTGCCTGGAACAGGCTGCAGACTCCTGTAGATGTGAAAGTTCCCAGGTCCCTCCATGCCTGGGGTGTTTTTTTTCTTTTACCAATTGTTGAGTTTTTTGGCTGAGGACAGTGTTTCATGCAATGCTTATATTTTCATTTGAAGTGTCATCTGATAATCATTATTATTATCATTTTTCAAAATGTGGTGTCCAGTGTTGATTAACCAGGAAAGCAGAATACTTGAGATTTTCCTACTTCTTACCAATTCCAGTTCAATGTGATTTTCCTGTTTTGACCCCTGTCCCTCTCTGGTGTATTTTCTCCTATCCAGGCTCCAACAGAGCCTTCTTTTCTGTTTTTGTTTCTTCTTTTCTTTCCTTTTTCTTTTTCTTTTTCTTTTCTTTTCTTTTTTTTTTTTTTTGAGACAGTCTCATACTGTTGCCTAGTCTGTTGTGAAGTGTCATGATTTTGGCTCACTGCAACCTCTGCCTCCCGGGTTCATGCAAATCTCCTGCCTCAGCCTCCTGAGTAGCTAGGATTACAGGAGCACACCACCATACCTGGCTAATTTTTTGTATTTTTAGTAGAGACTGGGCTTCACTGTGTTGACCAGACTGGTCTTGAACTCCTGAACTCATGATCCACCCACCTCAGCCTCCCAAAGTGCTTTCTTCTTTTATTTCTTAGAACCCCATCCTCTCCAGGAAAATCCATCCAATCATTCTGCTTCCTCCTCCTGTCCTCTCCCAGGAAGTTCTCTCCTCACCTGTGAGCAGGAGCTCCTTCCAGGTGATGTGCAGTGTGCAGGGAGGCGCTGAGAGGGGCCCCATGGCCTGTGCTGCCTGTGTGTTCTCCTCTGTGGAGATGAGCCTGGGATCCAGAATCTTTCCTAGCACAGCTGTCAGCTATGCTGTCCTTTCTCCTTCTCTGCTGAGCCTCTTCCCGGGGCAGGAGCACTTCTCAGGCTCATAGGTGGAGTCTGAGCCCAGGACACCTCTCTCTCCCCTCCCCTCTCAGTCCTGCCTGCTTGCCCCTCCTTCTCTTTTTCCTTTTATCTGTGTGTCAGGTCCCTGGGAATTGTAGAGGCCTCTGCCTTTTTCAACAGTGATTCTGTCACCAAACCTCAATGCACACTATGTTCAGAAACACAAACACACACACAAAAGAGACACACACAGACACACACAGTCACACACATACCCTGTCGGTTGGGCAAGCACAGTCCTGGGTCTCAACCTCCTGCTGTCCGAATGGCTCTGGGTCAGGGTGCACTTTCTTGCCCTTTCCCCTCTTTCATCCTCATCTGGCTCTCCGCTTCAGTGCAGGAGGCTGGAGCTGCAACAGGTCCCTGTCACATGGACACCCCATTTTGCTGTGGGTGAGCTGTGTGTCGCCTGGTGAGAGGGACCCTTCCTTTCTCTAATTGTGTCAAGCTTGGCTGCAGCTTCCAAGGATGGACATTCAGGACCTGGGTGTCCCAGAGGAAACTGTCCTTCCTGGAGGTGTGCAGGGTGAATCTCTCATGCCTCTTGGGAGGAGAGGCCTCTGCTGGTTGCTCGGTAAGGGCTGTGAGT